CTAAAACAGTCCCAAGAATCAGTTTTTTTACCAGTGCTCATATTACAAGTTTTTGTCATTGCTGTTTTTCTCTAGCTCCCTGTATTACTGGTTTCCATATTTTTTCATGTCTATGCTTGGCCGACTTAGGAGATTTTTCTGGCTTGCGCTGATACCTTAAGGTGGACTTAATAAAGTTGTCGGGTCAAAATTCCAACATATATCACCTGAAGAATGCCAGAGCATACAACGACCGAAACGTCGTAAAAATGACTATAAAGATGGGAGCAACTTTCCGAATGATGTTAATAGTGTAAATAGTTATAATGTCTCATCTCAGAAATATAAAAAAATGTTGTATGTTCAATGTCGTTGAATATATTTAAAAGACAAGGAAATACTGATTTAGTCGGGTGTAACAATAAACTATTATCTATATATTGTAAATTTGTTAATTCTTTAGGTAAAATATTTTTGGAAAAATATTGTAGAAATTCTAAGTTAAGATAAAATAAAATCCCGCTAAAAAGCGATCCTATCGCTAAATCGAATATAAAAATTATTATCGAAAGTCATATAAAATTGGTTTGTCATAAGGCGGCAAATGCCTGCCATTTTTTCTCTTATTAGGGAGACGTCAGTTTCTTTTCATTTTTATTTTTAACGAGGTATTTCTTCAGAAAATTTAGCCATTTATTAAGAGCTACATAAGTAAGGCTACAAGCAGTGGTAATATTCTATCGGTTCGCGCGAATTGGTGCGAACCGATTCTTAAAATTGTAAAAGCTTAGCGAAATGCTTGTTGGATTATCCGAAAATAGTCTAATATATTAATAGCCGTTGGTTTAGGTAAAATGTTAGTTACACTACGCACCTACGCACAACTAGTGAAACTTTAATAGACTCACGGCCCCCTAGTTCTTTGAAATTAAAAATGTGGCAAATCTTCTAGTCATAAATTTGATAGGTCTTCCATTAGATCTTTGGGGACTGCAGTGATTCAGTTGAAATGTGACTAAGAAACCATAACACAGCTGATGGTACTAGAGTTAAAAAAAAAATATCAGACTTTCGAACAGAAAGATGATGAGAACAGAATTTCAATCTGAAAATAGCTTAATAAACAAATGCTTTCTATTAAATTATCAAAATGATTTCATTCTTTTTGATACTATAAAATGTTTTGTTTCTATTCTCAAATTGAAAAGAAAATAAGCAGAATAGCTTCCTAAAGATTACCTCCCTTTATAGAACCAGTTATTTTTCATATTTATGTATTTTAGTCTTTCAGCAATTGTGAAAGCCTAACTGATCCAAGAATTAACAATTTTTTATATAGTTTTCGTTAGACTACTGGTATCACTTCTAATCCCAGAATGCCTAATTTGGAGTAGGCTGATATTCGATCAATTTTGATTATGTTTGTCCTTGTTATCAATTAACTTTCTAATTTGTTGAATTAAAATCGTTATTAGGCTAAAAGATTCATCTCGAAAGTAATGCGTCATTCATTCCTTTTTTCATTTCATTTATATATATATATATATATATATATATATATATATATATATATATATATATATATATATATATATATATATATATATATATATATGAATCCATATATAAAAGAATCCGCGGATTTATTATTAATTCGACATTGTTTCTTATAACTTTAACCGTTTAACGTTATATTTACTAGATGCACATGTTTAAGTAGAAGCCCTTTTTTGTTTTTCTTGTTTGCATTTATTTAACAGTGTGAACATCAACTGGCGTATGCATTCGAGAATATATAACTTTTTTCATATGTGTCGCTATTATTGAATAGGGAATTAATTTTTTCATTGTATATGTTCTTATTGATTATGACAATGCCACCTCTACCCCAACACACTTATCCGCGGAGGTAATGGAGATTTCCTTAGTTTTTTATAGGTTCCTTAGTACATTTAATTTAGTCTCTGTGGTAATGTTTTTCGTTGTTGCTTTCTAGAGTGGCAGTAATTATTGCTTGAATGAAATATATGGTGCAGTTCAATTTATATTACATGAATCATTCATACAAAAAGTAGATTAGTAAAGTTAAGGATATAAATGACGAAAAACATCTTCGCAAACAAATTTATTAAAGTTACATTAACCTACGAACCACTCGATGCATGTTATGATCCTTATTTTTAATAACTTCAAGTTGTATAAGGTCTTTTTTTATTCTGCTAGTACTTTCAGCTGTACATACAGCCATCCTCAGGCATGAAAATTAATTTGTTTTTTAGTAAATCCAGGTAGTAGCGGGACACGAAAGATTAAATGCGAATTGAAATAGGTTTTTTTTAGAAATGTGTTATTGTTAACGGATAAAAAATTTTGCACCGTGCAGTCGCAACGCTAAGGTTGATTTTTTTTAAATTTGAGAGAGTGCGTTTTTTACTAATATGGTAATTTGAGAATTTTTTTGTTGTAGGAGTTTTTCAGTCAATGTCGCATGAACTAAATTGTTCTATAAATAGAATAATGTCGCAGCTGTTATCAATAAAAACAATTAATTTCCATGCCTGAGGATAGCTGTGTGTACAGCTGAAAGTACTAGCAGAATAAAAAAAAGACCTTATAACTTATCTACTTTTTTCATGAATGATTCATGTAATATATATATATATATATATATATATATATATATATATATATATATATTCAGTTAAACAAAGAAACATCCTTGATAATGGCTAGTAGATTAGCCGAAAGCCCCTCAGATCTACAGATCATTTGGATAGTCTGGACACACACTCTATGTCCAGAAAAAAAATCACTTGTACAAATGCAATAAACATTTAATAAAAAGCTTAATTGCAGTGCTTTGTCAGCGGTTTTCAATTAAATATGTATATAAAGTCACGCCTAACTTCCCATTTTAATCTACGCTAGCGTGACAGAGAAGTCAGGTTGTACCTGAATGATCGCAGTTGTATTTCCATAAATATAGAAGATAATAAAAATATGGAAAACCATGACAAATAATGGAGTGTGTACCGTGCGTTGCTGATCCCATCTAAACATCGATCACTGACCTTTCAGTCAATCTGACCAGGTTAGATGCCTTTATATTCACACTCTTATCCATGAAGTAGCAGTTACCGATGCTTCACGCACGGTCGAATGAACCCATCAGACTAGGAACATATACAGGCTGATTGAAAAGTACCCACCTCCGTTTTCAAATACTTATAATTTATTTACAAGAAATGGATATGAGAGGAAAGCGCTTAGCATGAGGTTTTATTTAAAATTCCATATGGGCACTAGATTTCGCTACCAGCTTCACGAGCTGCGTCAACTGATTTCACCAAGAACTTTTGTAATATAGAAGACATGAGTTCTTGAATTCGCCCTTCAAGATCTTCCAAAGTCTTTTAACCAACCCCCAAAGAAAAAAGTCATAGGTGTTAAGTCAGGACTTCTGGCTGACCACCCATGCATAAAATAGGGAGTTACGTTTCAATCACCATATATATATATATATATATATATATATATATATATATATATATATATAATATTGATATAATATTGTTTAGATTAATCTTTTTTTATGTACTGTGACCATTCAAGACGTGGGCGATCACAGCTCTCCCATCTTTCTATCCTTTGTAGCTGTAAGCAATGTTTGTCCATTTACTATCTCTTCCACTCCTTGTTAGATAGTTTACCCGATGTTCCTTCTGCCCTTTTGCTTTCAGAAGTCCATGTGAGTGTCAAATTCTACAAGCCCTCTTTCCTCATATCGTGTACAATAAATGTCAACCGTTTCCTCTTAGTTTTTAGTACAAGCGTATTTTTTTTTTTTATCTCCTTTGCCTTAAAATTTCCTCACTGCTCACGTGTCTATCGTATTCCCAATATTCCCTTCCATGGAATCATATCTCTGTTTGTCCAAGAGTTCCCTCCAAGAGTTCCCTCCAAGAGTCCTCTCTTCATCGGTGAACAAATTACTAGAATCTTTATAGCTCTGATTGTTAATAATAGTATCTCTGAGACACTTCCTACTCTGAGATCGCAAACGAAGCTAGTAAAGTTACATCCTCACCGAGCAGACCTTTAATTTTCGTCTCATGTTCTAAACGGTTGGACTCTCAAGAATATTCCTTGCCTTAAACCTCTATTGCTACTTAAGCTTCCTCCAGAGTTCAAGTGGAACTCATATATTCAATATTGCTAAAGATAGTCGTTTCCTTGTACAAGAACCAGATCAAACCCAAAATAGAGTACTACAGGAGCTGCCCATTCCTCATTTTCCAGCCTTTATAAAATTCAAAGGTGTCTACTGATGAATTCATTATTTTATACTCTATAACGTCTTTCCCGTAGACGAAAGGCGAATAATTCCATGGCAAATGTTCTAACGACCTACATTCATTAATTCCATCACTTCAGACCTTCACAGCTAAGATCCAGCATGTCACATAACCACAGACGAATCCTTCCAATTCCCTTTGTATTTCATTAGTAAGAAGAAAGTTTCCTTCAGAAAGCTTCTTCCCCAATTACGGCTTCTTTTTAGAACAGACACCCTAGAGGATACTTCACCGATCTTTAAAATCTCAACCACTTCAAATCTAGGTTGTTGTTTTTTTTCCCCACATATTCTCATAATGTGAACTTCTTACCTCCTCCTTTTCAGTTCGTAAAACAACCTGATTAAATAACCCACTATCTTGAGTGGCTCTTGTGTCTTGTATTGGGTGAACAGTTAGTAAAGAAAAGCACTTCATAGCAACGACTGGAAAAGAATTTACTGATTTACAACGATGTACAAAGAGATAATAGAATGTCTCTTGCCACACACCAAACACTAAAACATCTTTCTTTATTTTTATAGTCTTGCTACCTAAGTCTCAGTTTCCATTTTAATCGAATATCGATTGACTGCGATAAGGTGTAGCGGGGTTGTGATGAGAGAATGCGTTTGACTCTGGGTCCCACCCACGGGTAAAAGGTCGCTAAAATTACTCTTTAAAAGCATGTTTTTTTTTTTTCTCTTTCGTTGTCGCTTTCTCCTTTTCGTTTTCTTTTCGACCAATTCATTCTCCTTAGTCCTCATCGCTACACTTTTTCTTTCTCTTTTTCTTTTCCACCTTTTCATTTTTCCTTCTTTTTCTTTTGATCCCACTCTTGCTCACTCTCACTCATTTTCCTCATCCTTTTTCTTTTCCGTCTTCTTACCTCCTCCTCCTCCTCCCCCTCCTCCTCCTCCTCCTCCTCCTCCTCCTCCTCCTCTTATTTGCGCTCTCTTTTCTTCTCTATTCCTTTTTTTTTTCCTGCTTCTTTTCAGCATTCATATCTTTCTTTTATTCTCTCTCATCCTCTTTACTCTCATTTTTCCACCCCTCTTCTCTTCTTTACCCTCTTTCCCCTTTTCTTTTTCTTTTCTAGCCCTCCATCAATTTCCCCTCTCCCTTTCCCTCGTTTGCCCCCACTCTCTCTCTCACTCTGTCTATATAGTCCTCTCATTTTCTCTCTCCTGTTTCCCTACTCCTCTTCTCTATCTTTATCCCTCTCTCTGTCTATATCGTCCGCTTTCCAATTTTCCTATTATTTCACACTCCTCCCTCCTCTATACTCTCTCTATGGTTTTCTTCTTTTTCTCTTCCCTTTCTGATTCATTTTCCTCCTTCCTTCACTATACTTTAGCTCCTCCTCTCTCTCTCTCTCTCTGTGTGTGTGTGTGTGTGTGTGTGTGTGTGTGTGTGTGTGTGTTCCACTCTGTTTATATCGTACTCTGATCTTTCTTCCACTTATTTTCCTCCTTTTCGCTCTCATCTTCCGTGTCCCTGTTCTCTTCTCACCACTTTTCCTCTTTCCTCCCTTCCATATTTACACCCCCTCTCTCTTTCTTTCTCTCTCTTTCTCTCTCCCTCTGTTTCTCTCCCATCTTCTCTCCTCGCTCCTTTATTTCTCGTTTTCATTGTCTGCTACCTATTCCTTTCATATTTTTCAAGTTTTTTTCCTCCCTATTCTTTTAACGCGCTGGATAAACCTCTAGTCCCAAGTCAACCTGGTTTAAACAGCTTTTATTTTATTGACCTTTATTATCAGTGGCCAGCATCTCTATTTCAACCGCAAATACGATTCTTGCACGCTATTATTTGTCACGTTTATTGTCCATTTTTATTAAATAAAACAAGATGGACGTAGCGTCCATGCCTCCAATGACACAGACATCTGATAAGGCAAACATCATTAAAAAAGAATAAACAATAAAAAGCAAAAGCAACCCTTTTCAAATCCAATCAGCAGTTGCCCTTCTTGAACATCACGCATATATATATATATATATATATATATATATATATATATATATATATATATATATATATAAAGTTTATATATGTAAAAATATATATGTATATTTATATATATGTTCAATTTTATATATATATTATTTATATATTATATATATGCAGCACTTATTGGAAAGCACTCAATATCAGTATATATATAAGTATATACGTAAGCATCGTACGTGTAAAAGATGACGGCACTATTTACGAATGGTTGGACATTTCTGCCTCGTTTCGAATATATGTACGCTCTACTGAGTGTCGCCCCACTGCGGAGGGTCAGTGTAATATCTGTGCATTCTACTTAAGTGTAGGTTAATTTGACTGTGATACACGCAGCTGAACGCTAATGTAATGAATATATATATATATATATATATATATATATATATATATATATATATATATATTTCTGTAGTTTACTGCTACCAGCAAGAAAAATATTTCTTCTCCTGATCATGGGCATTTTTGGCCGAAACTAGTCGAGGAATCTAAATGAAATAATAATAATAAAAAACAAAAGAATATTAATCTACAACCCCGTGTGTCTGAAGATTTTAATTTTTTAATATTTTTTTATTGTTCAAAATATATATATATATATATATATATATATATATATATATATGAATATGATTGCCGATCAAGATGCAGGTCTGAGGTTTGAATTAGGCCAGGTTTCATGTGTTTGTTTTTATAAAGGTTTACTTTAGTCTTACTGTTACGGACAAAGAATTGGTTATATATATATATATATATATATATATATATATATATATATATTTTTTACCCAAGTACTTTTGACCTTTTCTAAGATCATCTCCATGTGTAAATTACAAAAACAAATATGCTACTTTAACTTCAATAAATTCTGCATTCCCTTGTCATAGCGATTTTTTTAACACGCGCGAAAAGACTATTGGAAATGTTCAGTATCAAATATCTAGGTATCTATATTATTCAATGAAACATGTTTGAATAAATATATATTGCCTAAATATATGTCCATATTGTTCGCAAGTACTTTCGGTAAAAAACATTCACCATCTGCAAGCATAAATGTTATTTTTTTCCCTCAATTTCAACTAATTTCGGGTAAAAATTCCAAGAGGAAAATATGGACCCGACATCTAACCCATTATACAATTAATAAAAACAAGGATCGCGTCGTTCAGCGAGTGGTCAGTAAGTTAATGCCTTCTTAATTTGTTGCATCTGTTTTCTAATCTTAGGTAAACGAAGACATTTTTATTTAAAATATGTCGGATTTAATCTATGTCTATATATATATATATATATATATATATATATATATATATATACAGAGAGAGAGAGAGAGGGAGAGACATTTTTATTACACTGTTGTGGTAGGATCCACCTAATTTGCATATGGTTGGTACCGGGAAGAGGGAGGAATCAAGAGATTCAACCAGAGACTCTGCCCGACTGCGACTCAGTCAACACATTCTCCAGGAACGGTCTTACCAGGAATATACAAAAAGACTATATGTAAATATTGTGTACACTTTCTTGTTTCAATACATTTTGTTCTAAGTACATTTTGTGTTGCATTATTATTCCATGCATTAGTCAAGTTTCAACATACACACACACACACACACACACACACACACACACACACATATATATATATATATATATATATATATATATATATATATATATATATAAGTTTCGTTGAAGACGACTGACATGGCACTGTGATTATTATATTTTCTTGCATTCGTACAAGTGATTGCGTTTCTAGACATCGAATGTGTAAAATCTGTCCAAATGATCTGTGGATCCGAGCACGTAGCTATTATCAGAGATGCTTTTTTTTATTGTGGAACTGAATATATTGATGCCAGCACTTTGTGCTCAGCTTCATAAATGATATCGCTTTATCGCTAATTAATTCTTCCATTACTTTTACTTCCATTACGTTTAACGATTGTTTGCATGTAGTCTATTATATTGCTATTTTCCCTAAGGATTTCTGAAATATACTTGCAGAATATACGAAAATAATAGACTCATTTTTACTTCATTTCTGTATTTATTCAGAGTTTTTGTTTTTTTTTTTTTTCGGCTGTTGATCATCTAGTTTGTTTACTTTCAAACATTGGTTTTGTCCGAAGTATTTTCCATTAACTGCGTTTTATATAATGAATATATTTGCATTTTTCATCGTGCTATTTTAATTTTTGATTTTTAAGTAACGGAGTAAAGAAAATTGATTTCGTGTATGAATTTTGGATAAGTTTTGATCGTTTATTTAATAATTTGCATTGGCTGGGAATGCGATTATAGCTATTTTTTCCAAACAGGGTTTACAGTTTGGGCATTTATTGTTGTAACCTGAGACTTTTTTTTTTATTTTCCATTATATTTTTGGTGAAATTTGTTTTTAATTTCCCATATATGTTTCGAAAGCATTGCATCGGTCGCGTATTTACTACTTGTAAAGAATATTTTGTGTGCCTAGTTTCATTGTTTCCAGGTTTCTTCAATTGGGGGATTTGTATATTTTTTTCTTTACCTTCTGATGTTACAGTGGCTTGGTATATTATATTGTTTTCTAAGTAAATTCCATTTAAGGGCCATCCTTTCTCGCGCTTTGGAATTGTAGGTGGGTTTGATTTGTGCGGATGGTTTGTTGGTTATTTTTCTACTGTGATTTTTTTTCTTTGGATATTTGTTTGTCTGTGTTTTGATAATTAATATTATGTACTTTCTCATAACTGGTGAAAGTAGTCTTGTTCTTGCATTGCTTATGGCACAAAGTGCTAATCAATATATATATATATATATATATATATATATATATATATATATATAGAGAGAGAGAGAGACAAAGAGAAAGAAAGAGAGAGAGTGAGAAAGAGAGGATGAATTAGTGGATTTGAGCAGCATTTTTTCGGTTATTGAAATATATTTAATATATCATTATTATTATTATTATTATTATTATTAAAGACAACTGACATTTTGTATCGATTAATTTTACTACTAAAACCTCACACAAAGAGAAAATCGTGTCAGGAATTTTCCGAAATTCATTTACATTTTTATATCTAAAATGAACTTCAGAGAAAGATTATTTATAATTTGAAAAAAGTTAATCAGTAAAATTCATAAAATGTCTTTTATCTATAATAACATTTGCCCTCAAGAATATTTACTGCTAAATACACAGAAAACTATATATACATATATACACGAAGAAGTATAGTCTTAAGGTGTGCTATATTTACGGGATAAAGTGCTCAATATCAGAGATAGAGCGTATGGAAATATAAAAGTGAACATTGAAGTCAACACTTAGAGGCGACAGGCTGTTTCATGCTAGACGCAATCGTCAGGTCACGAGTGCTGTTAGTTTTCTCGGCAATTTATATATTAAGGGTCAGTGGTGCATTGTGGGTAGTCTATTTTGGCGGTTATTTTACCGGAAGTCGTTTATTTGGGTTAAATTATTTTGCTTGTCATTATTTATTTTTATTTTTATTTTTATTTCTTACCTCATATATTTATTTATTTTTTAATTTAATCGGTGTTTTTATTAACAGTAAAAATGTGTTTATATCGCTTATCTAATAGTTTTGTTATTTATTCAATTTTGCGGTTGATTGTTGTAATTTATTCTAACTATTATTTTGACGGGAACAGTTTTTAATTTGTTTATTACTTTATTTGGATTGATTATCTTTATTTGTTTTTTTCTAACGGTTAATTTATCGGGATAAACAAATTAATCAGCACAAAGTAGAGCAATATATTATTATTATATTTTTATTATAAGAGATTATAAATAAAACATTTTGAAATCTCTACACAAAAGCTTTCATGTTTCAATAATATGATTGTATTTCTTCAGGCGATGCTAAGCTACTTACCAACACCTGAAGAAATGCAATTATAGTATTTTTTATTATAATCTCTTATAATATATATATATATATATATATATATATAGAGAGAGAGAGAGAGAGAGAGAGGGTTGTGCACCCCCCTGTCATCGATCTGGCTGCGGAGAATAGTGAAATATTCTCCTGTTAAAATAAACATTGAATTATAATTAAGTCAATTTTAAAAGTCATGACTAAGGGACCCACTAGTGGGCTCTTCTACTAATCTAAACTTTACATTATTCGGACTATTGTCCTCATCTTTGTCGCCATATTTATCACAACGTTTCGGCCGTTGTACGCTCCGGCCTTCTTCAGGTGGTTGGAATTTCGAATTGAACCCTTTATTTCGATCACTGGGGTGGAGACTGAACCACCTGAAGAAGGCCGGGTACAAACGGCTGAACGTTGTGATAAAAGCAAAGATGAGGACAATAATCCAGAATCTAAATACTGTACATAATACCTCATCTCAGAAATATAGACAGACTCTAATATAAACTTGTTTTCAGTTGTTCTAGTGATGTTCTTATTGAACGAAACTTTGACAACAGAATTTTATAAATGAATCTTCATTTATGGTTTTGTATCTTCCATCTTACCTACTTTGTTCAAATATTTCAGATCAGTCATTTTGTCAAACTTAAGATATTAACTGTCTACACGGGGTACCTTCCATAGAACTATAGTTAGTGATTTAACCAAGTAAACCATTACGTCTGTCGTGTGCTAGAGTGGATTTGCGAGTTTGAAAATGAAATAACAACAGTTAATAAGCTCATAGATGCAATAGTCGTGCAAAGTGGAATGGTTTTCGGTAAGTACCTCACATTAACAGCAGAATTACATCCATTTGTTAGAAACAGAGCAATCCGAGGTTGTCTGCTATGTAGACCGCATCACAGTTGAGACAGCATCAAACAAGAAAGAGGGCCATTGAAAAAAATCATCACCACCGTCAAGAAGAGGAAGTTGAAATAGTAAGGACACTTCATAAGAGGTAACAGTCAACTGACACTCTACAAGATAGTACCTTGGGTAAAAGAGGAAGGGGCAAGTAGGGATAAAATTAGGCAGAAAACAGTACTAAATGTACTGGCAGACCATTCCTAGAGACTCAGACATTGGCACGCAACCGAGACAGAAGATGGATCAGGTGATCATTTGCGCAGCGACCCCACGAGCATACCCGGACATGGGAACGATGATGATGACTCCATTATTGTGGCCCTTCGCCAAACTCAATATTTCCTTGTAAATACCCAAGAGTAAAGTGGTAGTTAATGACTTTTGCAGACGCTTGATCGTGAATTTAATTGTGACTGCGCATTTTTATTCGATGCATTTGGCAGACTTTCTTAAAATTAGTAAATATTTACTCTACGCAAATATAGGCAGTTTTTTTTTGTTTTGTTTTTTTTGTTTGTTTTTTTTGTACTACTTAACAAAGATTTTGCAGACACGCGGATTTGCTATCAACAGAGTTAAATAAGATTATCTGGTCAGTCTTTACGGTGACTAGATATGCTGAAAATTCAACACAAAATGATGGCCTTCAGTTGGGCTTGAACTCCAAATTCAAGAAGTCGAGTCAAATATTCAACTCTCTCTGTTCCCAAACATAGACAGATCGTCTGTGTTTATCCAATAATAGCAAAAGGATTTTCTTCCGGTGCCTGATAACATAGCCAGAAAATTCATATCATCTTCAAAAATAAAACTTCTCTCGCAAGCACTCGCCCTCCTTCATTCTTTCTCTTTTTTCATTCTTTTTTTTTTTCTCTCTCATTCTTTCTCTTTTCTTCTTTCTTCTTTCATTCTTCTTCGTTATTTACGACCTCGTTCACATTTATCTTTTTCCTTTCTTTTACTTCTTCATTATTTCAGTGCAGTTTAACTCCTTCTTCTCCTCAACATATTCTTTATCAGATGGCTCCTTTCAAATCCGACCCGCCCCAACGACCACATAGTCCATCTGGCTTTCATAAATAAGCAAGAAGAAAGAGGTGGGCGGAGAAGAAATATCTAAACAAAAAACCTTATGATCTTGCAGAAGTTTTTGTTTTTTGTTAGGTATTTATAGGATACGGTTTTTGGTTGAGACGAGCGAGAAAAGGGATCGCACTCGAAGTTAGAAAGCAGGGTCCTTTTTTTTTCATTGGCACCGTCCTCAATGTGACCCGACATGCGAGTTCGTCGTGGCTAAATGCAATGATCTGATTTGAGAATTGGTCGCAAAGAGTGACACGAAAGATGAGCAACGAGATAGAATCGGATATTGAGAAAGAGAGAAGATGATGACAGGGCAACAAGCAGTTACGGATCGAGGAGCAGAGGTGTATAGGCAGTTTTAAAATTTATAATCCGGAAGTAAAGGAATTAAGAAGAAGAAGAAGAAGAAGAAGACGATGACGATAGAAAAGAATGACAAGGAAAAGAAGAGAGAAAAGAATGGGAAGAAGAAGTAGAAGAAGAAGTGGGAAAAGAATGGCAAGAAGAAGAGGGGAAAGAATAGGAAGAATAAGTAGAAGAAGAAGAAGAAGAAGACGATAGAAAAGAATGACAAGAAAAAGAAGAGGGAAAAGAATGCGAAGAAGAAGTAGAAGAAGTGAGAAAAGAATGACAAGAAGAAGAAGAAGACGATGTAAAAGAATGACAAGGAAAAAAAGAGGAAAAAGAATGGGAAGAAGTAGAAGAAGAAGAAGAAGAAGAGGAATAATAATAATAATAATAATAATAATAATAATAACATGTCTCTCCACAACGTATAAGTTGATCACGTCTGTACTGACGAACCGTACTTATTCCTTTCTCGAAACAAACAGCATTCTCCCGCTGGAACAGAAGGGATGCAGAAGAGTTTCATATGGCTGCAAAGATCAACTTCTGATAAATAAAATGATCCTGGAAAATTGCAGGAGACGACGCAGGAATCTAAGTGCAGCGTGGATTGATTATCGTAAAGCCTTTGATAGTGTTCCACATTCTTGGATCCTTAAGACTTTGAAATGTACAAAAGTCTCCCTGTTTATTAAATTTCCTTAAGCACAGCATGGGAATGTGGAACCAAACTATACCTTAGTCACACCAGGAGCACTGCCATATCCAACCGTCTGAATATCCGACGTGGAATCTTTCAAGGAGACTCTCTGTCACCCCTTCTGTTTTGTTTATCCTTAATCCCTCTTACACATGAACTGAACAACAGTAGCTATGGTTACAAAATAAATAAAATATTCAATCACCTACTCTACATGGATGATCTCAAACTCTTTGCCAAAGACGACAATGAGTTGAAAGGCCTCCTCAATATTGTAAAATACTTCAGTGACGACATAGGTATGGACTTCGGATTAGATAAATGTGCAAAAAGTAACTTTCAAGAAGGGAATTACAGAAACACCCTTAATAGATTTAGATTTTGTCACAAAGATTGGGAACTGGGAGCATGGTGAAGCTTATAAGTACCTAGGAATTAGCGAAGGAGATGGCATACAACACCCCCAAATGAAGGAAAAAATAAGAAAAGAGTACTACAGGCGTGTACGTCTGGTACTAAATACTGAGCTAAACTCAAACAACAGGATATCAGCCATAAACACATTGGCTGTCCCTGTGGTGCAATACAGCTTTAATGTCTTAACTGGACCATAGCTGAAATTAAGCGAATGGAAGCCAAAACGAGAAAAGCTTCTCACTTACTATCGCATGCATCATCCCAAAGCTGATGTCGATCGTCTGTATGTGCCCAGATCCGAAGGAGGAAGAGGATTAGTTCAACTAGAACTGTCCTACAAAACTACAACAATTGGCCTCCAAAGATATTTGGAAACTACAGAAGACTGGATGATGGTATGCGTCAAGGAACATGAAAGTAGTAAGCGTCTTTACTCCGTAATGAAAAAGCCAACAAATTCAAAATGGAGTTTCAAATGGGCGTAGAGATGCAACTACAGCACAATACACCGGCTGAAACTGCAAAATACCTAAAAAAAGACAGCAAAGACGAATGCAACCGACCAGATACAGAAGCGATGGCAAGATAAACCGCTTCATGGCCAATACTCTACCCGTACCAAACAAGCTGACGTAGACAAAACCCGTACCCATCAGTATACATAGTGCAGGGTTGAATCGGAAACTGAATTTTTTATCCTTGCTGCGCAGGACCAATGCTTGCTAACTAGGAATTATCAAGCACATATACTAAAACATTGTGTCAGCCCAAAATGCAGATTCTGTGATAAATATCCAGAAACGATTGATCACCTTGTATCAGGTTGTACGGTGTTGGCACCCACTGAATATAAAACCCGACATGACAGAGTGGGCCATTATCTGCACTGGAAAATCTGAAACTTCTACGGGAAGGAAACTGAAAGAAACTGGTATGAACACCACCCAGACCCGGTTACGGAGATAGGATCTGTTACAATTCTATGGGACAACACAATACACACTGACAGAACAATCAAGGCCAACCGGCCAGATACTGTTATTAAAGACCACAAACAAAAACGGTGCCTCCTTATTGATATGGCAGTCCCTGCTGACTGCAATGTATCTTTGAAGATATTCAAAAAGTTGTCAAAGTACAAGGGCCTTGAAATAGAAATCTCGAAAATGTGGCATATGGAAACATCAACAATCCCTGTTGTAGTTGGAGCCCTGGGACTGGTTAAAAAAAGATTGCAGTAGACTAATTGAAGGGATTCCTGGAAGTCCATGCCTCAAGGAGATACAAAAATTGTTCTGACAAGTACAGCCCACACCTTACGAAGGGCTTTATCTATGTAATTTAATTTTTTTTTTTTTTTGTCAGTGGAAAGTGTCATGACGCCATTTCTAACCTTAGGTCCCTGGGCGGGCCCGGAAAGAAATGTGTAAACGCCAGAAATCAAAGAAAATAAAAATAATAATAATAATAATTTAGTTTTTATTGTTGTATTTTCTTTTGTGGATTTAATGCTATAATGATCGTGTAAAAGTTTCTTCGTTTCGAGTGTTTCCGGTCAATCTTAGCTATTCTAAGTGGTGTGTAACTGGTATTGTAGACGGCATAAAAGTTGCTGAATGTAGACATATTGTTAATCCCTAAACAAGGCCAGTACGCTGTGGCCGTATTCATAATTAATGTTATTAAGGGTCGCGGTTTCATGTATAAAAAAGGGCTTCTGTCACGAAACCTGTATTAAGCAGGGATTGCTGTCCACACACACACACAAACACATACACACATATACACACATACACTGCCTGCATAAGTTCACGTCAATCTGTTTCAGAGAAATGGGAAACTTGTCAATTTTAAATCTTTTCATTTGTACCCTCTGACTTCTTTAAATAATGACATGTATTCATATTTATGTCAGTACTAAAAAAATGAGCACAGCATTATGAAAAAAAAATGTCCCAAACATAATGAAACAGTTTTATCGTCAAAATCGTTATGTTATTATTAAGAGGAAAGACCAAAGGATTGTTTTATTATTAAATTATATATTTTTAATCCTTTTTAGAATGTTCTAATCTTGTTTTCTTGCGTTAGCGGAGTGGGGGTGGTGTCCAAAGATTTAGGATAGGAAATTGTGGCGTCTTTTCTTTGCGGCAAAACCATATTGATTTGGAAATTCTGTCAAAAATGAAATAATTGTCGAATTTTAATGAAACTTTCGGGACATTCACAAATGAATTAAATTATTTTAGAAATGTTTCTTTTTTAGACAATCTTGGTAAAAACATTATTTTTGCAACTCTCCCCGACCCCGCCTCAACACACGGACATTTATTTAATTTTATGAAATTTCGAAAAATTGAATTTTGTCCTGTTTAATTTTTATATTTGTTATTCCTTGAAGAATTTAAATCATTTTTTGTTTTGTTTTTTGTTTATTTTTTTATAACTAGGCCCCCAGTTACCGAAAATCTGTTCTGAATCGTAAAATAAAAAATGTAATAAAACTAAAACTTTATTCAATTACATGAGTTTTTAATTTCTTTTTATGAATAAGATATATTATGAACACTTTTTTATAAAAAAAATATTTCGATGAATAATTTATCTTTACAAGAATTGAGTCCATTTTTTTAAATTTAAAGAATTAAAATTTAAAAGAATTTATAATTATTAATTTGTACGGGTTAAGTCATATTGTTATTAAGTAACAACTATATTTACTAATCATAAAAGGAAAAGCTTACTACAATTCAGCGACCGCAATATTTTAAAAAGAATTTTGACGTTTTTTGTTGTGTGTATAAACGTGCCAATTTTTGTATATACGGATGTCCAAAAACGAAATTATCAGAAAATAAGAGCGATAACTATAGTAAATTTAAGGCCAAAGTACCTAAAATTCAATAAAACATTGGATTATGGAGAATATTATCATATTTTTTAATGATTACTGGGTAGTTAAAAATGCGCTCACGTTATATTCCTCAAGTATTTTTTACAGATATGTTCCCCATAGAAAACGAATTAAATAAACTTCCGGCTATCAGTCAACCTGTCAACTTGTCAACACCTTAAATAAACAATTAACTATCAAAATGCATTTCTACGATATTTTAAACTAAAAGTAATATTTGTTTCAAATTAGATTTATTAACCTTTAAATTAGCTAATATTATGCAAATAAAATTTTAAAAAAGTATATTTTATTTTTGAAAGATTATTTAATAAAGAGAATTACATTGTGATGATAGATGGCTAAAATGGTGCTAAAATTAGCGATATTTAGTGATTTCAAAATGAAAACTCTTTCCAGTCAATTTAAATTAGTTTAGAAATACTGCAAGGCATTTTGCTTATTGGAAATATTAAATTTAACCTATTAGCTTGACATTAAAACTAAAATAAAAGCTCCGAGGTAGTTTTTAATTTTTAAAAATTCATTTTAAAACTTCGGTATCCTGTTTAGGTCAGGATCAACACTAACCTTATATATTTTTAATCGCTCTAGCAATA